TATATATATATATATATATATATATATATATATATTCATTGATGAAATTGTAATGTTTTCTGTGTAGATGTTACTCTTCGCAGACAGAAGCGGAAAAAAGAAGAGGACGATGGGAAACAGGAGAATGGCGAGGAAACGGAAGAGGAGGATGGAAGGGAGGATGGAGAGGAAGAGGAGGCGGACAAGGAAGAGGAGGATGGTATGGAGTATGGAGGAGTATGGAGGAGTATGGAGGATGGAGAGGGAGAGGATGGTATGGAGGATGGAGAGGGGGAGGATGGAGAGGGAGAGGATGGTATGGAGGATGGAGATGGCGAAAATGGGGAGGAAACGGAGCGGGATACAACATTTTTTATTTTAATTTCAACTAATAATATAAAACAATTTCTTTATATTATATATTAAGAAATAAAAAATGAATATATGTAATATATTTTGCGTCACTGCGTGGTTTCTATCCTATAGTGGATACCCATCCTTTTTTATATCCTTTTTCGCTATCTATTTTGCCTGAATAATCGAACTACAAGTAATGGTATCAATTAGCTATGACAAATAATCTTGATGGATTATGGTTATAATATGCTGTTGTATCGTAAAAACATTTTAATGTTATATTAATTGGTAAATGTTGGAAAGGACGTAACAATAATTGACGTGCTACTGATATATATCGGCGAATTATTAACAATATTATTGTTCTTAAATTTTTAAATAAACATTCTAACAAACTATATGAGACAATAAGTTACTTTGAAAAATATAAGATACAAAACAATATTAATCATTTAAAAATTAATGCTTATTTTTTTCATTATTAGGGAATAATTCACATCTGAATTACTGAATTAGTTACCTTGTAATTTAAATACTTAAAATTAATTGCTATTAATAATAAAAATACTGCAGAATAGTAATTTTTTACTGACCAAACAATAATATTTTTTTGTAAGGATTTTACACAAAAAATGTTTAAATTCTATATATATATATATATATATATATATACATATATATATATATATATATATAT